CCAAAGGTAGATAAAGGTAGACATATATATATATATATATAACTAAATTATCATCTATCATCTTTTTTTAAATAGATATGGCATAAATACGACGAGTATTCCCGAGCTGTGGTATGTCTTCTTATAATAATACGATTAGCTTAAGTCATAATTATAACTTTAATATATATATATATTTATTTATTTATTTACTTATTTATATTGATTCACATCGTTAATAGACGGAACGACGCGACGCATTCGAAAAGTTCGCGATCAAACTACATTATTATTGGAATGTACTTAATTATTCACCTAAGGATGACATAGATGAATCATTATTCAAGTTATTTGCTGATAAACCCGACCCTAAAGCTCTTTATGAAGCACTTGAAAATGATGATAATGTTAGTGAACGGCATAGTAATAATGATTCTGATAAAAATCAACAAGAGATAGATAATACGAAACGTGAATATGTCTATTATTCCTTACCACTTCCATCCGGATTAAAATTGTCATCGGATAGTATTGCCATCCTTAAGAAAAAATTAACGATGCTTGAACAGGATTATATGAATCGTAAGAATGAAGTAGAAGCAATGTTGACAACTGTCAAAAATCTTTATGATGAATTAAACACTCCTTCAGAAGAAAGAATAAATTTAATTTGTTCACTTGATGAAGACTATTTTAATAAGGTAAACGTTTATGATGCATTCTAAATAATTTAATTTGTCTTACTACAGTCGATACTGTCTAATTGCATGCCATCCGTTAGAGACTTTTTTATGCATATATACACTATATGCATTTAAGTAATAAGAACCATTTTGGTGTTAATAATTAAATCAAAATTTTTTATGCACTTAGAGAGTATGCAAATGGACAGTATCGACTGTATATATTTATTTAAATATTCATTTAAAATTATTCCTTTAATAGTTATCCTTGGAACTTAAACGTTTACGAGACATCATGCATGTTGTTGTTGAAAAAGCTATTGAAGAAGTAAGATGATTTTTTTTTTTCAAGGGGAAATTTTAAATTTGGTAATTATTAACATGTATGCTAATTAAAACTAGTACACTGTTCAATTGGGCTCCCTCTGGGATAAATGTCTGGTTCCGCAATATGAACGAGATGATTTCTTTGAAAACGTACACAAAAGTAAGTATATCAAAGATATTATATCTAGTAATGTTAAAAGTACTGATTAATATTAATATTATATTCAATGTTATTTATAGTTGACTCTGCTGAGGAAGTTTATGAACTTCTTGCACAAGAAACGACGCGTTTGGAAGAACTTCATGTTAAATGTTCCAAGATCTTTAAATGGATGTTGGAGAGACGTCAATTGATTGAGGTAATTTATTATGAGTCATTTAACAGTTAACATTATAGTTATCAGTTCAGTTAACAGTTAGAACTTTGTTAATTTAATAAATATATATATTTTTTTTTCATTTAGAAAATGATTGAATTTGAGAAAACGGCATCTGATCCACGTCGTCTATTCCAAAGCTCTTTCCGATTATTGGAAGAAGAGAAATGGCGAAAATCGTGTTGGCCTAATTTGGTGAAAATTGAAGATAATTTGATTAATGCATGCATCGCTTATGAAGAAGGTAAATAAATATAATGTGTATTTCTCATTACATCTCATTACATCAAAATTTAATTTACGAATATAAATTCAAAAGCCGAGAGAAAACCTTTTATGTATGAAAGTATGCGATACTTGGATACGCTGGTATGTTTACACTACATAACTTACTACTACTTTTTTTTAAAAAAAATTCAATGATTTCAATGATATTAAGATTCTTTTGTATTAAACTCATTCAGCAAGCGGAAATTTCAGAACGCACCGTCAATCAAATGTTCTTTGGCTTTGAAAAAGATGCTGCTAAAGGTTCAATCCAAAAACAGGCCAAAGATAACAAGAACACAACAACAAAACGTAAGGAGAGTAAGGAGAATAAATCAACACCAAAAATTCCACAAAGCCGATCAGTATCGCCGGCTGCATCCGTAAACGGTGATCAAAGTCTATCACATAACAGTCAATTAATGCAACCTCCAGTATCACCTACATCCATTAATGGTTCCCGGACGCGTAATAGTCAAAAACTTTCTCCTAGCAACTCAGTACCACTTTCAAATTCTGAAAATTTACCCAACAGATCACGAAGAAGTAGCAAGGCTATAAGTCGTTCCGTTTCTCCTGCAAAGTCTACCACATCATCACGTGCAACATCACGTGCAACATCACGTACAACATCACCAGAGAGAAGGTTAACCCGAAAACGAAGCACAAATAACATAAGTTTGACTCCACCTTTAAGTCCAACTCATCGCGTGTCGAGCTCAGATAATTCAACGCTTCATCCTGAAACTGCTGCTCAAAAGACGAATAAACATGATGATAATAAGAATTTGACTGCTTCTCGTCGGTCATCACTCTTTCTCGGTAAGGGTAACGCTACATCAAAACGTAGCAATAGTATTTCTAGTACATCAAGTGAATCATCATCTGTTTCATCCATTGCTGCACCCTCCACACCAACTACTCCTGCACCACCCTCAACTTCATCTTATATTGTCAATGGACATTTAAGTGTACCCGTTACATCAAAAACTAAAAAAGAAACTGATAAAAATACTATGATTAAAATAACAATAGATAACGAAGATAACAAAAGTAATGTATCTTTAATACCAGCCAAAGCAACAAAATCTACAACACCTAATACTGCAAGAAAAACAAATAAAGATATAGCAAAGGCTAGGCCTCGGAGTGTTGTTGGGCAATGATTTTGTGGGGGTTCTTTTTTTTAAAAAAAAACATTTTCTTATATAATTCTTACGTGACTTGATTTATAGTCATTACATATATATTTTTAATAATACTTTAATGTGATAGAACCTTTTATTTTTTATTTTTTTTGTTGTAATTTGCATAATTTGCGGTTTTTATTATTTTAGATACTTATGAATAGAAATCAAAAAATAAAGGATTTCCATCCATAAATTTAGTACAGTATATCCATAAAAAAAGCAATTTATTTAATTCAAGCTATAAATATTAATCAGTAATGTACAACTAGTGAAATTGCTACTATCATGGCTACTGAAAAGATTTTCGATTATTAATTTTTTTTAAAATTATAGATTCTTATTTTTTAAAAAAAAAATAAAAAATAAAACAAAATTATCTTATTTATACAAATTACTAGCTCTATTAATATGATTCTTTAATTTTTTAACTTCACCAGTAAAACCACTCCATATTTTTGTTCCATAATTCTTAATTTCCTTAGCGCCAATTCCACCACTACTTCCACCAACATTTGAGGAATCATCTTCAATATCAACACTTTCATTATCACTTAATTTTGGAACATTTTCCAATAAATATTTCATAATTTCAACGCGACCATATTTTGCAGCAAAAATGAAAGCATTTGGAAAATGAGCATCTCTTGGTAAAGCCTCAGCACCATGATCAATTAACATCTTCACATATACCGGATCATCACATAATATTATAGTAGCAAATAAAATATTTGGTAATTTGTGATTGTATAATTGAGAGAAAGATTTTAAATCATTTTCACCTAAAGAAGAACTTGAACTATAAGAATAAACCGATTGTAATGTCTTTGATCTAGATAAATCCGGATTTTGAGATATTGAAGGTTGATGATTATATAAATTATTTAAACGTTCTTTTGATGGTTTTGGTTGTAATAAACGAATATTTGGATTAGCACCTTGATCTAATAAAGATTTTATTTGAGCCATATCAGGAGGACGATCACCGGATTTTAAAGAATCTTTAAATAATTTTTTTAAAGAAGAATCCAATTCATCTTGTGACATTTTTTTAGGTGATATTGGTGGTGTTATAGGATTATTTGGTTGAGGTACAAGTTTTATAACTATATCTTGTATAATAGCTCCACGAGTTCTTAAAAATGGTTCGGATAATTTTGGTGATTTCCAAGCAGCATTTTGACCATTGATTACTAAAAAAAAATTATTATTAAATTAGAATGTTTAATTAAGAATATTTAATTAAGAATGTGAATTAGAATATGAAAATAGAATAAATAAATTTGATATATTATTATTAAGATATAAAATTAAAACGTGAAAATTAGAACGTGAAAAATAGAAATTGATTATTAAAATATAAATTCGAATACGAAAATAGTAAATGTAAATTAGAATGAATTGATTATTAAATGTAAAAATATGAATAAATTAAACATAATGAGTATATAGTAAACATAATAAATATATAATAAACATATAGTAAACACAAGCATAAAAAAAATAGTAAACATGATAAATAAACAAGATAAATAAATATAATAAGTAAATATAAATAATAATAATACCTGTAGCCACTAAAAATTTTTTTAATAATACCGGATCGTCAAATATCGGAGGATCAGGTAATGGAGGACCAAAATATGGTACACCATCTTTACATACAATATCAACGCGAAATGCTCGTGAAGAACCAATATTAATTTGAACAGGGCTTACAACTACGTAAACGTGCAAAAATTGCGAACGTATAGCAAGTGGAGAAAAAGGCCTTCGGACATCTTGAAAAATTATACATACAACATCTAAATTAAGAATATATAGTATTAAGTATATATTAGACACGAATTACAATATTATAATTATTATAATTATTATAATTAATATGAAGAAATACCATTTCCAATATGCCTTTTTCTTGTAATTTGATGTTTATCAGATTTTTCATAAGGAAGTAATGTGCTTACATGATACATAATAGTAAAATCTTTCCAAGTTCCGGTATCGTAAATAGAATATTCACCAGTACCTTCGGTAACAGTATCTAAACCACCAGTAAAACCATCAAACCCTAATAATCTAACCTTTTTACCTAAAATTTCTAAAAAATTTTCATAAGCAATTGATGTAGTAGTGTTGGAAAACCATTCTTCTTCGGTTTTTTGTGTTGGTGCACAATATAATACACCTATCTTGTAACATTTTTTCAGCTGTAAAAAAATATATATAAAAATATATAAATATTTAAAAGAAAATGAATAATTATACGAATATTATTACGAATAATTATACGAATAATTAATTATACGAATAATTATACGAATAATTATCAACACATTCATAATAATAATAATAAATACTCTTGTTTCATCCAAATTTAATAATTCTTTTGTTAATTCAGGAGTAGTTAAAAATTTCTTTAATGATTGTTTTCCAGGATTTTTTACTATCATTTTTAATAAATCATCAGCTGGTAAATCACCCATAGGAAGCATAGGTGGACCTGATAATAATCCTCTATCATCCGGTAATTGTTTTTTACGCATAATATATCTATACCAGTATACACTTTCACGATTAGCATTTACAGTTCGATTATCGAGTACTATCGAAATAACCACAGGTCCATAAGGTTCAACATATCCAACAAATGTCGAATGATCTTTTATTTAAATTTAGATTAGATATAAAAGAAAGAAAAAAAAACAATTCAATGAATATAAAAAAGATATGTGTATGTATGTAAAAGTCACCTTTTTCAATAAAGTATCTTCGATACCAAGTAGAACCCATATCTAGATGTTCTATTGGGAAATCAGCATATAAGAAATTCCGAGGCAAAATATTTGAGTATTTAGCCGCTATTGGCAACTCAAACTTTTTTTTTTTTTTAAAAAAAAAACAAAAGAAAAATAAAAAGGAATAAAAAATATATCTATATATTTATTTTTGTTTTTTTTTTTTTATGATAGAAAATTGTCAAAAATATGAATTATAAAAAATTACCTGAGAAGTCATTGAAGAATTTGATAGGAGACTAGCACTGCTAGACCGATCTTGTTGATCCGCAGAAAACATTGGATGAAAAAAAAAACGATGCGATAGATGTGATAGATGGTTTAGGATTACTAAACTTGAAATAATTACTCGTAAAATAGTGATTTGAGACGACTAAATTTATGAATGGTAATCTGAATTGTAGACGAGTAGACGATGATTCGAAACGATTAAGATTGTAATTCGAGACGGTTAAATCTATGAATTGTAAATTCGAAATACGATTAAAAAAAAAAAAAAAGAAAGTCGATAACTAAACCTTTAAAGAAGAAAAAACAACATTTCCGAAAAAAACATCACTACAGACTAGATTTTATTTGAATTTAATAGCAAGATTTGTTTGTTTTCTATTTAAAAGGTGAAACGATGAACAAGACTTGAATCGAAAAAGACTTTTACATTAACCGAGCTAAAACAAGAATAACCATATGTGGGAAGAAAATCGCAGGTTAAGCGTAATTTGGTACAATTTATATTAACCGTGATTGCCAAACAATAAAATGATCGATTTTAACCGTTTTTAATCATTTTCAATTGGCCAAAATTGTTTATTTAAATATGAAACTGATAAGTTACTATTTAAGGAAGTCGGAATTCGATAACGTGTACAAATTGCATCGCATTTCGGCCACAATTACAATATAACTGATAATAATAATAATAATGGCAATAAATAATCCGAACCCGAGGATTTCCAATAAGAACAAAAATCATTAAGAAAATGGGAAGAATTCAATTTATTTTGATTTATTGTTAGCTTTACCGGTTGGTTCCGCATCAAAACATTTAAATGAATCTTAAACAGACGATCTTTAAAAAAACTTGTTGACGTTTTATTTATAAATTTTGTGTCATTAATTCAGGATAAAAAAACCTATAACCGGAGAAGATTATAAAAATGGAACAGTTACCTGTTAGATAAATATGTAACGTACCAACTTGTGACCGGACGCATAGGTGGCAATTTTCCTGAATTGTTTAGGTCATTCATGATTGTTATCATTATTGTTTGTCCCTTATTCAATGTCAATATGTCGATATATATATCATACTATCGTAATAATTTCGTAATACTACGTATGATTATTGTAACGTGATAACATTACGATAGTGTTTCTAAGTAAAACCGAAACACCTAAAATATATAACTAACTAAAAGGATATCAATAATGTTTAGCATTAAAGTTGACGCAAAGTAACTCATATATAGTTTTGTATACAGAATACTCGAAACCCTTTAATAATGAGGGTTAAAGAGATTAGGTCAAAAAATTTCAAAAATTTGTCACACAAAATTTCACCATTGTTACCATTACATTACATATTTGTGTAGTACTCAAAGATTTGCACTACTTACTTTCAAAGCTGTCGCTTGCTGTAGTTTGCTTTAAGAAGAACCACATCGATTATATTTATACGTACGTATGCGCGTATGCATCATATCTGATATCTAGATATTTAAAATACTTTTTTAGAGCAAACGTCATCCTACGCGTCATTAGTGACATCATAACGACGATCTTACAATTATTATAAATAAACCGATACGGAAAACTATTTCTTCTAACTCCAGACCTCACTCACACTGTTTTTAACATGGATTCGAGACCTCTCCCACCAGGTTGGGTCAGTCAGGTAAACCTGTGTAAGGAATATTAATAAAATTCTTGATTCATTTTTGCAATATTAACTTTTTCTTTTTTAAGTATGATCACAACTATAAAAGATATTATTTTGTTGGTACGTATATAAGCTTTTTTCTAAAAATAATTTGTGCATATTGATTTACATTTACAATGATCAAAAAGTTCATGTTGCTGCATTACCAAATACATTTAATTAATGTCTATGTTTATATGCATTAAAATTAGATACAACAAAGCAGCCTCCTGTAAGTACCTGGGATGATCCTCGAGATGCTTCTCAGCCACAATCGTCAACACAGAGTCAAGGTTTATACCCTCCTCCTCAGAATAATCAATATAATTCTCCAAGTTTTCCGCAACCACAACCTTATCTATCTCCACAATCTTATCCTCAACGACCACACTCTTATCATGGAGAATCACAATCATCCCAATCGGGTGCTCCTAAAAAGAAAAAGAAAAATATATGGAATAAACTAGGTTTTGGCAAGTTCGGTTCCTCCTCTTCTAATAATCCTAATAATCCTGGAAATATTGGTCCTGCCGCTAATTATGGAAATAGCGGTAGTGGTAAGAAACATAATTTTTCTTCAATGGCGTTAGGTGGCCTCGGAGGAGCCGTAAGTTTACTAGTTATTTCATATAATTTAATACTTATGATAATATTGTAAATAAACTGTACTTATTCTTTACCCTTTTTTTTCTATTTTTTTCTATATTTGTAGGCTGGAGCTATGCTACTTGCTGATGCTTTTCATCATCATGGTCATCATGGTCATCATGGCCATTATCATGATGATAATTGTTATGACGATTACAATTATGATTATGGAAATGACTTTGGTGGTTGTGGTGATTTTGGTGGTAGTGATTTTAGTGGTGGTGATGTTAGTGGTGGTGATTTTAGTTGTGATTGGTAAAATATTTT